TATCACTTTAATCCAAAAGTGGAAACAAAACTATTTGTTTAGGTTGTTATATTTGTTTCTGAAAACTCCAAGGTCAATGGACGGTATCCATTTTAAGCCTGAATACATTCACACTCATTTATTGCTGTGCATCACTAATTATGACATCACCGTTTTTGAATGTACTCAGATTTAACCACATCTGTATTTCCTTCCCTAAAAAGAATATTATGAGTGTGTCGCACAATGCATTAAGGTCCTTTACAGGTTTCCTGGCTGTATTTGCTTGCTTCACCTTGATGCATAGAGACCCCACCTATGATATGATAGTTTCGCCCAGCAGGTAGTGATTAAGGTAGTCCAGGGCCCCGTTCCACGAAGCGATCTTACTTTAACATAGGCTTACGATCATCGTAGCGCTAAGAACGCTTTAGTAGAGTTGTGGAAACCAGACAGGTGGTGGAGTAGTGGAGTTCAGACAGGTGGTGGAGTAGTGGAGTCCAGACAGGTGGTGGAGTAGTGGAGTCCAGACAGGTGGTGGAGTAGTGGAGTCCAGACAGGTGGTGGAGTAGTGGAGTCCTGACAGGTGGTTGAGTAGTGGAGTCCAGACAGGTGGTGGAGTAGTGGAGTCCAGACAGGTGGTGGAGTAGTGGAGTCCTGACAGGTGGTTGAGTAGTGGCGTCCAGACAGGTGGTGGTGTAGTGGAGTCCAGACAGGTGGTGGAGTAGTGGAGTCCAGACAGGTGGTGGAGTAGTGGAGTCCAGACAGGTGGTGGAGTAGTGGAGTCCTGACAGGTGGTTGAGTAGTGGAGTCCAGACAGGTGGTGGAGTAGTGGAGTCCAGACAGGTGGTGGTGTAGTGGAGTCCTGACAGGTGGTGGTGTAGTGGAGTCCAGACAGGTAGTGGAGTCCAGACAGGTGGTTGAGGAGTGGAGTCCAGACAGGTGTTGGAGTAGTGGAGTCCAGACAGGTGGTGGTGTAGTGGAGTCCCGACAGTACATACAATACCCCCACATACATACAATACCCCCACATACATACAATACCCCCACATATATACAATGCCCCCACATACAATACCCCCACATACATACAATGCCCCCACATACAATGCCCCCACATACATACAATGTCCCCACATACATACAATGTCCCCACATACATACAATGTCCCCACATACATACAATGCCCCCACATACATGCAATGTCCCCACATACATACAATGCCCCCACATACATACAATGTCCCCACATACATACAATACCCCCACATATATACAATGCCCCCACATACAATACCCCCACATACATACAATGCCCCCACATACAATGCCCCCACATACATACAATGTCCCCACATACATACAATGTCCCCACATACATACAATGTCCCCACATACATACAATACCCCCACATATATACAATGCCCCCACATACATACAATGTCCCCACATACATACAATGTCCCCACATACATACAATACCCCCACATACATACAATGCCCCCACATACATACAATGTCCCCACATACATACAATACCCCCACATATATACAATGCCCCCACATACAATACCCCCACATACATACAATGCCCCCACATACAATGCCCCCACATACATACAATGTCCCCACATACATACAATGTCCCCACATACATACAATGTCCCCACATACATACAATGTCCCCACATACATACAATGTCCCCACATACATACAATACCCCCACATATATACAATGCCCCCACATACAATACCCCCACATACATACAATGCCCCCACATACAATGCCCCCACATACATACAATGTCCCCACATACATACAATGTCCCCACATACATACAATGTCCCCACATACATACAATACCCCCACATATATACAATGCCCCCACATACATACAATGTCCCCACATACATACAATACCCCCACATATATACAATGCCCCCACATACAATACCCCCACATACATACAATGCCCCCACATACAATGCCCCCACATACATACAATGTCCCCACATACATACAATGTCCCCACATACATACAATGTCCCCACATACATACAATGTCCCCACATACATACAATGTCCCCACATATATACAATGCCCCCACATACATGCAATGTCCCCACATACATACAATGCCCCCACATACATACAATGCCCCCACATACATACAATGCCCCCACATACATACAATGTCCCCACATACATACAATGTCCACACATACATACAATGCCCCCACATACATACAATGCCCCCACATACATGCAATGTCCCCACATACATACAATGCCCCCACATACATACAATGTCCCCACATACAATACCCCCACATACATACAATGCCCCCACATACAATGCCCCCACATACATACAATACCCCCACATACATACAATGCCCCCACATACATACAATTCCCCCACATACATACAATGTCCCCACATACATACAATGTCCCCACATACATACAATGCCCCCACATACATACAATGTCCCCACATACAATACCCCCACATACATACAATGCCCCCACATACAATGCCCCCACATACATACAATGTCACCACATACATACAATGTCCCCACATGCATACAATGTCCCCACATACATACAATGCCCCCACATACATGCAATGTCCCCACATACATACAACACCCCCACATACATACAATGTCCCCACATACATACAATGTCCCCACATACATACAATGCCCCCACATACATGCAATGTCCCCACATACATACAACACCCCCACATACATACAATGTCCCCACATACATACAATGTCCCCACATACATACAATACCCCCACATACATACAATGTCCCCACATACATACAATGCCCCCACATACATACAATGCCCCCACATACATACAATGTCCCCACATACATACAATGCCCCCACATACATACAATGTCCCCACATACATACAATACCCCCACATACATACAATACCCCCACATACATACAATACCCCCACATACATACAATGTCCCCACATACATACAACACCCCCACATACATACAATGCCCCCACATACATACAATGCCCCCACATACATAAAATGTCCCCACATACATACAATGCCCCCACATACATACAATGTCCCCACATACATACAATGTCCCCACATACATACAATGTCCCCACATACATACAATGTCCCCACATACATACAATACCCCCACATACATACAATGTCCCCACATACATACAATACCCCCACATACATACAATGTCCCCACATACATACAATGCCCCCACATACAATGTCCCCACATACATACAATGCCCCCACATACAATGTCCCCACATACATACAATACCCCCACATACATACAATGCCCCCACATACATACAATACCCCCACATACATACAATGTCCCCACATACATACAATGCCCCCACATACAATGTCCCCACATACATACAATACCCCCACATACATACAATGTCCCCACATACAATACCCCCACATACATACAATGCCCCCACATACATACAATGCCCCCACATACATACAATGTCCCCACATACATACAATACCCCCACATACATACAATGTCCCCACATACAATACCCCCACATACATACAATGCCCCCACATACATACAATACCCCCACATACATACAATGTCCCCACATACATACAATGCCCCCACATACAATGTCCCCACATACATACAATACCCCCACATACATACAATGTCCCCACATACAATACCCCCACATACATACAATGCCCCCACATACATACAGTGTCCCCACATACATACAATGTCCCCACATACATACAGTGTCCACACATACATACAATGTCCCCACATACATACAGTGTCCCCACATACATACAATGTCCCCACATACATACAGTGTCCCCACATACATACAATGTCCACACATACATACAATACCCCCACATACATACAATACCCCCACATACATACAATACCCCCACATACATACAATGTCCCCACATACATACAATGTCCCCACATACATACAATGTCCCCACATACATACAATGTCCCCACATACATACAATACCCCCACATACATACAATGTCCCCACATACATACAATGTCCCCACATACATACAATGTCCCCACATACATACAATACCCCCACATACATACAATGTCCCCACATACATACAATGTCCCCACATACATACAATGTCCCCACATACATACAATGTCCCCACATACATACAATGTCCCCACATACATACAATACCCCCACATACATACAATACCCCCACATACATACAATGTCCCCACATACATACAATGCCCCCACATACAATGTCCCCACATACATACAATACCCCCACATACATACAATGTCCCCACATACAATACCCCCACATACATACAATGCCCCCACATACATACAATACCCCCACATACATACAATGTCCCCACATACATACAATGTCCCCACATACATACAATGTCCCCACATACATACAATGTCCCCACATACAATACCCCCACATACATACAATGTCCCCACATACATACAATACCCCCACATACATACAATGTCCCCACATACAATACCCCCACATACATACAATGCCCCCACATACATACAATACCCCCACATACATACAATGTCCCCACATACATACAATGCCCCCACATACAATGTCCCCACATACATACAATACCCCCACATACATACAATGTCCCCACATACAATACCCCCACATACATACAATGTCCCCACATACATACAATGCCCCCACATACAATGTCCCCACATACATACAATACCCCCACATACATACAATGTCCCCACATACAATACCCCCACATACATACAATGCCCCCACATACATACAATACCCCCACATACATACAATGTCCCCACATACATACAATGCCCCCACATACAATGTCCCCACATACATACAATACCCCCACATACATACAATGTCCCCACATACAATACCCCCACATACATACAATGCCCCCACATACATACAGTGTCCCCACATACATACAATGTCCCCACATACATACAGTGTCCACACATACATACAATGTCCCCACATACATACAGTGTCCCCACATACATACAATGTCCCCACATACATACAGTGTCCCCACATACATACAATGTCCACACATACATACAATACCCCCACATACATACAATACCCCCACATACATACAATACCCCCACATACATACAATGTCCACACATACATACAATGTCCACACATACATACAATGCCCCCACATACATACAATGTCTCCACATACATACAATACCCCCACATACATACAATACCCCCACATACATACAATACCCCCACATACATACATACAATGTCCCCACATACATACAATACCCCCACATACATACAATACCCCCACATACATACAATGTCCACACATACATACAATACCCCCACATACATACAATGCCCCCACATACATACAATGCCCCCACATACATACAATACCCCCACATACATACAATACCCCCACATACATACAATGCCCCCACATACATACAATGCCCCCACATACATACAATGCCCGCACATACATACAATACCCCCACATACATACAATGCCCCCACATACATACAATGCCCCCACATACATACAATGTCCACACATACATACAATGTCCCCACATACATACAATACCCCTACATACATACAATGTCCCCACATACATACAATGCCCCCACATACATACAATACCCCCACATACATACAATGTCCCCACATACAATACCCCCACATACATACAATGCCCCCACATACATACAGTGTCCCCACATACATACAATGTCCCCACATACATACAGTGTCCACACATACATACAATGTCCCCACATACATACAGTGTCCCCACATACATACAATGTCCCCACATACATACAGTGTCCCCACATACATACAATGTCCCCACATACATACAATGTCCCCACATACATACAATGTCCCCACATACATACAATACCCCCACATACATACAATACCCCCACATACATACAATACCCCCACATACATACAATGTCCACACATACATACAATGTCCACACATACATACAATACCCCCACATACATACAATGTCCACACATACATACAATACCCCCACATACACACAATGTCCACACATACATACAATGTCCACACATACATACAATGTCCACACATACATACAATATCCCCACATACATACAATGTCCACACATACATACAATGTCCCCACATACATACAATGTCCCCACATACATACAATGTCCCCACATACATACAATGCCCCCACATACATACAATGTCCCCACATACATACAATACCCCCACATACATACAATGCCCCCACATACATACAATACCCCCAGATACATACAATGTCCACACATACATACAATGTCCACACATACATACAGTGTCCCCACATACATGCAATGTCCCCACATACATGCAATGTCCACACATACATACAATGTCCACACATACATACAATGTCCCCACATACATACAATGTCCACACATACATACAATGTCCCCACATACATACAATGTCCACACATACATACAATGTCCCCACATACATACAATGTCCCCACATACATACAATGTCCCCACATACATACAATGTCCCCACATACATGCAATGCCCCCACATACATACAAAGGATATGAGGATATCAGTCTGCCTATGATTTGTTAATCTGGAAATGATACTTAGGAGGGTTCAATATGAACACTACAGCTCCATCAGATTAACTGGCTTCACTCTAAGTTTTGCTTTGGCTCTTAGCCTCATCCCACTAGTGCTGATCAAGGGTCTTTATGGTACTGTAATTATATTTCAATAGTTAAAACACTATTGGCACAAGTACAGTATTGCAGTAGAATGGTAAGCACCGTCCAACCGTGTAGAATTCCATACACCTCTGAATCACTGCCTTCTGGCATGTACATGTTGACAAAGCCTAACACCACATTCTAGTTTCGGCAGATTGGCATCAATGGTAACTATTGATACTCTAACTTGCCATCATTGTGTTGCTGTTGGACAATTGATGATTATGATGCAATTGATACAGCCCTACATCCCACTCATTGGAGGCATGTATACCTCTACCCCATGGGGATTCCAGGTTACAATAGGTTCCCACTACACTAAGCTTCCTGTAAGAGTTACAGTGTGTGACCAGGCTGCGTACCCGTAAATGTCATCATACCCTGACAATGTGGATCAGTGCTCATGCTATTAACCTCTAGTTTGCCTGGCTCAGGCTTACTTACAGGCCATAACGATATTGCTGAAATATTTATGTCTATGTCATAAAAAATCATTCACTCACTCCCTTGTGCTCTTTTCTATACTGCTGACTTCTTCTTTGGATCCAATGGGAACCTGTTTAGAATAGGTCACTAAATTAGGCCAGGGCCCTGTTCAACAAGGTGATCTTAGTGCTATGACTATTATAACTCCTATACTTTAACATAGACTATGATAGTCATAGCACTAAGGTCACCTTATTGAACAGGGTCCAGGTAGTCAGGCTTTGTCACTTGGCTGATTGTGTGTCATTGTGCCCTGGTCGTGATATTAGTTTTCCATCACTGTTTTATATATTATAGCTCTCAATGTGGTGTCCATGTGAGGTAGCCTAGTGGTTAAAGTGTTTGCTTCTTAAGCCAAAGACCAAGGTTCGATTCCCACAAAAGTACAATGTGTGAAGCGCCTCTGTCATGATATTGCTGGGATATTACTAAAACTTTCACTAAAAGTGGAGGAAATTCATACTGACTCACATCCATGTTATGTCCGACATCATCGGTCCTTGGATATATAATATATAATATATAACAGACTCACGTGGTTAAAATAATGACATTTATTAAAGGTATGCAGTATACAAAGAACATTTATCTAGAAACCCATCCTCATCACACAGGGAAGTAGCTGTCACCATGGAGATATGAATGAGTAACTATAGTCTGTTATCTTAAAATGTACATCCCAGGCTACATAAGATGAAAACGTTCCCTGAGTGCTGAGGATGGGCATGACAGATTTTGATATATTCTCAATAACAAGAGAATGTGGTAACGATTCAGACAGTAGAAGCTAATTAAGTAATCAATCCTAATGGCTAACCAGGTGCAGGAAAAGTTGAAATATCCAAAATGACATTCCACTCAAATTACAGTTTCAAACTATTATACCAGAGAGCAATATGTCATTGTGTAAATTCTTAAAATTCTATTTTTTCTTTCTAAAGTTTTTACAAATACATGTACTGTTAGGCCATGTAAAACAAATGTTTCTTATTGCAGATTATTTTCAAAATGATGAACTTAGCAGGCTCTTTTTTCTCAGTAACAAAAACATTATCATCGATGGAGGCATCCTCTATATCCAGGGTGTTATATTTCCATTCATTATCATATATACCCTGGACCAAATTGCCACCATGCCTTTATGGAGTCCGGTTTGATAGAAATACATTAAAAAACTTCCCTTCCCTTTCTTAATACTCAGGAAAACATCATTTCTAGCTTAAAGTGCATATACATGTATAACAGTCTTGTGAATCCTTTGAAGGCATCCAGAGCTTGTTCAGACAAGGCAACAGTTGTTAATATAGATCTATACCAGACTTGCATCCAGAAGACATTTAGATTGGTTGTTGATTTTAAGCTCATAAGGCAGAGAAATTCTGTGCTAAGTTTGTATTTAAAGAGGTGGAGATGATGGTAACATCACTTCAAAACGAAGCTATGGTGACGGATGGGTCCATGTTATTTAATATAATAGAATGGAGATATAATTCCCTGGATGACAGAGGATGACATGAAGGCCTTGTTGAGTCAAGGAAAGATAATTCTTCCATTAAAGTTTAGAAGGTCTTCATGTTCACTGAACTAGTTTCTCAAAACAGGATCTTGTAACAAAAGAAAAGTACAGATATTACTTTAGATCTTGAAAAGTAATTATGAAATACCTGGCCCTGACTCATATAGAATAGAAGATAATGTGATGCCTGTATATGATATCATACTTCTGTGTACTGTAATACATATCTTCATAAAGCTGATAGGAAGGCTGAAGCTGATTTGAATGATACTGAAAGGAGTTATTAGAGAAGATGATGCATGAAATTTATGTTTACATGAAGAAAAGAATGAATTTATAAATCTATTGAATGATAGTCTAGTTATGTTGAAGACCAGGCCTATTGATTTCCATGTTGAGCAGAAAGCCTGTCTCAATATTTCAAAAAGTAATAAACCCAAATTCTGGGTTTGATCAAAATGTGTTTTGTTATGCATATTTTTGTGGAAGATTGTTTTCTTAACAAATTACCTTTCAATTAAGTTTTGACAACATTTGAAGTTTTTATATTTTTCTCCTACTTTTTGCGTATTGATGAAACAATTTGGTTAAAAAACAAGAAATAAAGTTGATCTGGTCTTGCAGAAGATTTGCAGCTGCAATATGATGACAAACGACTTGCGCTGCTACTTTTCAGTATTGAACATCAAAGCTGAAACCCTTTGATCATTTAAGTGTTTGACAAATATAATGTTTGTAATTATGACAATAAGGTTGAACATTTGTTCCATGAAATAATGTGTTTCATACCCTTAAAAACCTTTCAAATTAGACTCTTAAAATATAATGCTTTATCTCTTGACTACACATAATGAAAATACACAGATTTAGCAGTAATATTCATCATGATCTATTGTAATTTGTTGAATAGGATACATGTAATATTTCGCCTTGTCAGTGTCAATGCAATTATGTTTTCAATCTCGATTTACTTTGTTTCTTTTCTACACTTTTCCATTATCAATATAATTCATGAAAAATGAGTCATCATTATTTGCGTATTGTTTCAACGATTCTTTTTTTGGTCAAAAACAGAAGCATGTTTTTGTCAAATAGAAAATATTTCAATATCACAACAAACAATTCTCTATTAAGTCATTCCTTTCATTGTTTCAATTTGAGACAATAGGAAAATGATGTGAAAATGATATGACAAATGATCATATTCATATAAACAATCAGAAGAAAAATGCACAACCATGTAACTGTCAAGAGTTATCCCCCCTGGTGTCAAGTGTAATCTCCCTTGGTGAAACTCTCTAACACATGTACAAGCAATGCTTGATCTAACAACATAAGTTGTAAATTGATCATACACCATGCCATATTCATTCCATTTCCCTTAAATATGGAACATTTTGTAAAAATGGTTTTAGAATGCAAATATGAAATGATATTCAACCATCTGACAGAGAGTCAAATGAAAATTGATTGCGTGATAAAGTATTATGCATTAACTTGAGTTAAAATGATGCTATGTCCTTGAGAACTAATGATACAAATTATGACATAATTAACATGATAAAATGTTTCTATTTGAATACATCTATTAAATGACGTGAGCATTGAGTCAAATATCAGTTTTAATCATGGAACCTTGGAATCCATAATAGTAACAAGCATTCAATTTCAGTATCCATCAAAGATGATAATGAATAATTCATATTGTACTGATGAAAGTAAAAATGACTGTTGATCAATGCATTGTATAATATAATTCAAATAAAGACATTATCAGAAGTTCTAACCTAATTGAAACAATGTCAATATATCACTTATAAAACTGTTGGTTATGTTTGTCATCATGCTAGATGTTTTGATAATTTTGGAACCGCTAGGGGCTGGTCATTAAATATTCAAAGGGGGTGGGATGGAATTTTTAAAAACAAATCCCAACCTCTAGAATATAAAGTGGTCCATCCCTCAGTACAGTTGAATCTCATTGTGTCAAACAAATGTTATCTTAAATATCACAACCTAAGATGCATGTATCTAAATTATTTTAGATACTTAATTGTCTTGTTTTTCATTTTTTCTTGATCAATATGCCAAAATGTAGGAAACAAATATACTTGAAAAGAAAGTTTAAACAAAAAGAAAAAACAAGAAGCATATTTTCAGACTAGACTTTTGACAAATGAATCATCGCCCCATGGGGCCAAACTTTGCTTGTTGATGTAAAATGATGTCGTTTTATCCTGATCACCAGTCCATTTGAGATAATGGGATCCAACTGTGGTTTTTATCATTCTATCATTGTAATAAATATTGCCTGCAATGTGTTAAATATTCATCATGTACAAGATTCTTGGGGTTATTTTTGCGAACTTGAGAGATATAATTTGAGAAAACTGATGCTGATATATGCTCAGAAAAAGATGCAGTATGATGAGAAATAGAAATGTAGTTGTTACTTTTTGGTTATTTCAGAATCTGTAGATGTAGAGTGTTGTTGTAAGCAGTAGCATATGATATGAAGTGAAATATTTTTTTTTTAAAAATGTATAAAAAGTTGATTTAATAAAAATGAAATAATACTTAAGATAAATAAAACATTCTAAGTGCGTCTAAGTGGAATGTGTTGGCTAAATATATGTCACAGATGAATAAATGTTTAAATAAAGAAAACATGCCTTTGAAAGGTACAACATCACAACTTTTTAGGTCCATTCCACTCAATAATGTCTCAAAGAAATATATTATTTTAATAGCATAAACTGTTGTGAAGGCAAGCAATTGAGCTATATGTGTAGGCAGACATTTTTTGTTGTTGTTTCTTGATTTCAAAAGAAAATTCTCTTAGTTGACATTTATAGTAGATCATGTCATAGAATTTAATATTTCTTTTCCACATTCTACAATTACTACTCTTTTAACAAACATTTTCAAATGTAAGTTAATGGATCATTTGTCATTTTTCCATTAATAGTAAATGTGTATGGTAAGAAATGGTTATAGCAAAGTACTTCAAGATGCTGTTTTAACAATGAATGATGTGGGTATTTCTGAATATAATAGTTTGAATTTATTTCATCATGACATTAAGTGTTTCGATTAAACTGTTTCTTTTGATGATATTTGAGACTTAATGAAATTTAATGAATCTTGAATGACAAAAATGTGTACCTATTATGTTACATGTAGTTGTTTAATTGAATTATCTTTTTTGACACTTTTTCCTTCCTTACGGGCAGAGAGTTGTTCTATTCATTCAAAGCTGTAAGTCTATTTCATATTAGTAGAATGCTATTTCGCTGTAGAGAGGGATTTTAAACATCCTGTTCCAATTCAACCAGTGGTAATGTTGATAATTTTAATATTTTTGTTTATGAAGAATTAATATGAGGCCATAAACAATAATGCTTCTCTGCTGAAGCTTGTTTTCAAGTTAACCAAGACATCATCCTTTTCCCCCTTCTTTTCCCCAGTAGACCCAGGCAAAGTCAGTTGCCATAGTGAAATAGATTTGGTAAGGAAAAATAACACTTTGTTTAAATCAAAACAAACTTGAAACTTGAAACATTGAAAGACATGATATTTGGACCAGGCTTTTACCAGGCAAAGCCAAAGGTTTATCTTTTCATTTTCATATTGGATGCAATATTTCATACATTTTGAGAGTAAAAAGAAAAAAATACTTTAAAAAGAGACATAAAAGAGCTGATAAAATCATTTGATTATGAAATTGTTTTAACATTGCTGTCTCTGTTAATTCAACATATTTAAAACCCTTCCAATAATAAAAATTCAACAATATATTTAACAACTACAAACAATCACTATTTAATATAGGCAACATTAAATTATATTTCTTTCAAATTGATATTCATCACCAAACCGTTGAACTCAATTCTGCAAAAGGCTTGTAACTAATTTCCAATTGCACAAGTTGTAGACATGTACCGTTGGAATCTGTAATGTGAATACTGTATTAAAAACAACTTAATTCATTTTGCAAAATATTTTCAAACAGTTTCAATTAATATTAAAAGTAAACACTAACAATAACATGCACCAATATATTTTGCTAACTTTTCAGCATTTCAAATAGGAAAGATATGGGCAGGGAAAAAATACACCTACACTCTTGAAAATATTTGATAGCATGTGCAGCAAGTCAGCAAAGACAGTTAGGCCACAACCAATAGGTTATTTGTTCATCAGAGTTATTGCTCTCTTTGGCAACCACTTCCTTACCCAACTTATCTAACATTGCTTGCAAAAATGTTTATGGCTGAAATATGAAGTGTGCTAAGGCTTTGCTTAAAGTTGAGTTTAAAAAACAATTAGTAACATGTAATCATATCAGTTCATGAGATCATTACCTTAGATCTGTGAATTTGTTTATTTTCAATCTTTAAACAGTTTACCATTGCTTTTAAAATTTAAAAAAGTTAAAATGATGTGACATGCCTGAAAAATATCTGAAAAAACCCAACCCCCAAAATAATTTCCTGTGGCGTTTTCTTGTAGTCAAATTTCCTGGGATGTGCATCATACTCAAGCATAAACTGTAGAGCATTGTTAAGCTGAAATTTAGAAAGTCTAGAACCAACTCATGCAGAACGGCTGAAGCAATGGTGTCAAAATTTGTTGTCTTCTTTTATTATGTCGTCAATCATGATTGTGTTTGGGCTGCAGTTATATAATTCTGTCTCTCTGTATGAAGTACAAGCTCTCCAATACTACTGTACTGTGTGTAAAATAATCAGTTTAACATGCCCTGGAATAAGAAATAGTAAGTTGAAGGTCATTATGTGATAAGGGTCAGGCCAAAAGGGTCAAAAGGTCGTTCAAAAGGTGATGCTCTTTTGTAATCTCAGATGACAATGTATTTTCAGCAATATCTATTTATATGCTCCTACAATACAATTTCATATATGCATAATCTTCATACAATGTTGGGGTCATAACTTTCTAAATCCAGCATTCTAATACTATTGGCAAATATGTGTAGCTTAATGCTATAAGAAGTCTTCATATTATACATGATTGATGTGCATTGATGTACTTCTCCAAACACTTGTTGAAGAACTTTTCACACAGATAAAATCAAAACAAACAAGAGAAAGAAGACTGGTAAGAACATTTTAAAGCACTTTGAGAACATATTAAAGGGTTTCCAAAGCATCCAATAGCATCATGTTCTTTGGATGTGTTCTGGAGATGCAATCATGAGTTTTTCACATCTGTAAACAGTTCTAGAACAATTCCTTTCAAGAACGTGAACCATTCAATGTCGTCCTGACAGTTGAAGAAAGGTCATTATAACTGAAATCTCTGGGACGCATTATGGTCTAAAATATTGGAAAAAAGGAACTTTCAGGAAAGATGGAATAGATGCACATCGACTGTACACAGGAAAAGCTTTTGTCCATCAGAAGGGGTCTGAGTAGTCTGTTGTAATATCAATATTTGGAATCCGTTCAAACATTCTCTTGTAAACATTTCTGAGAGGAATCATCTTCAATGCCAACAAGTAACACCAATATTGCTGCAAAGTCATTTTTACATGACAAAGTTGATGCTGAATTGAATTCCACAATCTACAACATGGTAACTGAAGATTCCAATGTTCCTGGAATATCAAATTCCATCTTGTCACAGAATGATTAAAGCCTATGAGATGTACAAGAACGTTGGTGCCCTCTTTTCTGAAAGAGCTCAAGGTCAGTGCTCAATAATACCTCAAGGTCACAATACACATTCACATCAACATACACTTCCCCTTCAACTTTTCTTTTCGCTTTTGAGATTTGGATTTCTTTGTTTCAAGCTGAAGACTCATTGTCCGACGCTTCTCGAGCTGGAGAAGTTCCTGAAATAGTTCTTTAACGTTATAGTTTGTTTTTGCCGATGTTTCAAGAAATGCGCAGTTCCATCTTTTTGCCAACTCAGCTCCCTCAGAAAGTGCTACTTCACGATTTGTCTCATCACATTTATTTCCCACAAGCATTATGGGTATGCTCTCGGTATCACCTTTTATTTGAATGATTTCTTCAAATATGGGTTTAAGTTCTTCTAGTGATTGTCGACTTGTGATGGAATACACGAGAATAAAAGCATGTCCTTTTGAAATTGATAACCTCTGCATGGCAGGAAATTGGTGGCTACCTGTCGTATCAGTGATTTGTAATGTGCACACTTGTTTGTTACAACTGATAACTTGGCGATAGGTGTCCTCTATTGTTGGAATGTAACTTTCACGGAAGGTTCCTCGAACGAATCGCAGCACAAGGGAACTCTTGCCCACACCTCCTGCTCCGAACACAACCACACGGTAGTCATTACTTTGTTCCGGCATCACACGGAGACGAACAGAACGGTCCTTTGGTACCTGAAATTAGTAAGATTTCAAATGATTAATTTGTTAATTTGAGTCAAACATGCATTCATTCACATAATCATGCTTTTACACACAACTATGCATATATAGCCATACATTTCTTTAGACATACATTTACAAACTTACACATACATATATACATGAATCTGCTGTAATAGTAGGTGAATTTACGTAGAGGGGAATGTCCGAGTAACTCTCCATGGAATGGAGAGTTAAGAGGATATTCCCCTACTTAAAACTCATCCCTACTTTTACACTTTGACAAAATATTCTGTAGTTGAAAATATTTGAAAAATTCAAATGCTGCTTCAAGATAATGTACAGTTGACAAGCAACACTCCATTCCTGAAAAATAATGGAGCGTTCAAACAATAGAATGACGTCGAAGATGTGTTTTAATGATAATGACAGTGGACCCGTGAAGATCCGGATTAGAATAGGTCTTCAGCAACCCATGTTTGCCATTAAAGGCGACTTTGCTTTTTGTAAGAGGTGACAAACTGGATCGGGTGGTCAGACTTGCTGACTTGGTTGATGCATGTCATCGTATCCCAATTGTGTAGATCAATGCGCATGACATGAATCACTGGATTGTCTGGTCCAGACTCTATTATTTACAGACTGCTGTCATATAGCTGGAATATTGCTGAGTGTGGCGTTAAACAACCAACAACAACAACAACAACAACGATAAAGGACAGATGAGTTTCTTAAGTAAGTGAGTGAGTTGGGTTTTCCAGCTATATCATCGCATGTGATCTTGATGTGGGAGGAAAGCCAGAAGTGATGCAGGTCTTAGAAGCTTTGAACTTTGGTGAAACCCACAAACACGTGTATGGTGCTGACAAACCCACAAACACGTGTATGGTGCTGACAAACCCACAAACACGTGTATGGTGCTGACAAACCCACAAACACGTGTATGGTGCTGACAAACCCACAAACACGTGTATGGTGCTGACAAACCCACAAACACGTGTATGGTGCTGACAAACCTAGAAACACGTGTATGGTGCTGACAAACCCACAAACACGTGTATGGTGCTGACAAACCCACAAACACGTGTATGGTGCTGACAAACCCACAAACACGTGTATGGTGCTGACAAACCCACAAACACGTGTATGGTGCTGACAAACCTAGAAAAAATAAAGGTGAATCTGAGATTTGAATCCATGACCATAGGTTTCAAGCACGCAAGGGACACACACATCAAAGTGATTTCAGCACCCCAGACAACTTGGTTGCTCATATACAACATTGAAAGTTTTTATCTTTGTCAAGCATCTTTGATATTTGGTAGAATCGTTATACGACCAGAATTCAAAAGCAAATGCAAAATGACTACCCTTTTTTGTTATTTACATTTTTTATATCGTTGAAATGGATACATGAAAATGTTTGTAATAATTATCCTGTGTTTTTCTGTAGGTTACGCTGATGAGGAAATGTCAATCGTTATGCCATTCTCTTAAATTATGTCATGACATTTGAATTAATAGCTCTTTCCCTTGCAACGCTAAGTAAGTGTTGTTAAACTCATGCATTATTAATCGACATGTTTAACCAGTAAGCTCATGACAGGCTGCAATGGCAGTCACATACAGAATGTCAGACAGATTGTTCACTCATACCGATGGGCACAGGGAGCTCAGTTGTCCTGGGCGCCACAATTGACACAAGCTGTGCAGAGTTCGTCCTTTAGTCATACCAGAAACCTATGATCATGGGCTTAAATCCTAGATTCACCCACAGTAACTCATGCTTGTCTCTCCATGGAGATCACAGGGTATGATAGACCCCCAGTAGTCCATGCTTGTCTCTCCATGGAGATCACAGGGTATGATAGACCCCCAGTAGCCCATGCTTGTCTCTCCATGGAGATCACAGGGTATGATAGACCCCCAGTAACCCATGCTTGTCTCTCCATGGAGATCACAGAGTATGATAGGCACCCAGTAACCCATGCTTGTCTCTCCATGGAGATCACATGGTATGATAGACCCCCAGTAACCCATGCTTGTCTCTCCATGGAGATCACAGGGTATGATAGACCCCCAGTAACCCATGCTTGTCTCTCCATGGAGATCACAGGGTATGATAGACCCTCAGTAACCCATGCTTGTCTCTCCATGGAGATCACAGGGTATGATAGACCCCCAGTAGTCCATGCTTGTCTCTCCATGGAGATCACAGGGTATGATAGACCCCCAGTAACCCATGCTTGTCTCTCCATGGAGATCACAGGGTATGATAGACCCCCAGTAGTCCATGCTTGTCTCTCCATTGAGATCACAGGGTATGACAGACCCCCAGTAACCCATGCTTGTCTCTCCATGGAGATCACAGATTATGATAGGCACCCAGTAACCCATGCTTGTCTCTCCATGGAGATCACAGGGTATGATAGACCCCCAGTAACCCATGCTTGTCTCTCCATGGAGATCACATGGTATGACAGACCCCCAGTAACCCATGCTTGTCTCTCCATGGAGATCACAGGGTATGATAGACCCCCTGTAACCCATGCTTGTCTCTCCATGGAGATCACAGGGTATAACAGACCCCCAGTAACCCATGCTTGTCTCTACATGTTTCCTAATGGATTATTATCTAAGTCCAAAAAAACACACAAAAATGTCACACTAAAACAATGCAAATTGCTCGGTTTCAAACTGTATGCCATGTTTCCATTGCTTATGAATATATAACAACAGTCAAACCATGTAACTGGAGAATTAACATACCAAATATGGGGTACACCATGATTAAACCAAGACAGGAAAGTCACAAAACTGCTAACTGAACCATGTTCAACAGATAACTGTATATCCGTTAAAATAAATCAAGCACAAAATGTCCCAAAATTGGCACAATGCAAGATGTCCTTCACACAAACCTTTGAGCAGCCATTTTGAAATGCAGATTATTAGATTAAAAATGCATATTTGAAAGAATCTTTGTCTCATTTCATGACTTTCACAAGACTTAATGTAAAGAACATGGCATATTAAACTCAGTCACACATACCTTGGCAGTGGCCATCTCGAGCTCCACTCACAGGACTAATAAAGTGAGCTAGTCATATTTGGAAGAATCTGTCAGTTTAGTTCATGTAATAGCACAGCTCAAGCCAGTAATAAGTCTCATAGTCTCAAACACTGGAATAAATTATGCATTGGGACCTTTCCTTTGGTACTGCTCATGAATTAGTTACAAAGTCTTACTACCATTTCGACATCTACCTCGTGAAAAGACAGGAGCATTCTTCTTGGCTTATTAAGAGTCCTGTACCGTGGAGTACTATAGGGTGTATGTTAAGGTGTTTGTTGAATAGGACTAAGGTCATGTTGAGTGTGGTTATTATATTTTCCAAAATGAAATCCTTTGAATATTCATAAAGGACCTACCATGTGTTATTCTGGGACTGGGATTTAGGGATCCCTCAGACATGTTTCTCTGAAAATAGGTTGGTAAAATCCGAGGCCATTTGTTTTTGAACATTATAAACCTCCGATGATGTGATTGATATCCCAGGGAATTTATCCCCCGGATGTGGTTTTAAGTCTCATATATTCCCTTGGACGTGCTTGATCCTTCACATATCGAATAGTTGGCCCCTAAGTAAATTTAAGTGATATAAATATCTCATTGCGAAACACCTAATCATTGCTATTTTAATTATTTTTTTCTGGAGTATTTCTGCGTAGTGTATTGTATGTGTGTTTGACTAAACCCTCCAATGTCATTATGTATATCAATGTATCAGTCACGGATTACCCTAAATAAACAGAGACATGTCTCAGTATCACACACAGTATAAATATAATCTAGACCTAGGCAAAGCCTCAGTTTATAGAGCACAGTTTCCTTTTGACTGCTATCAAAAGTGTTTGTGATTTGGATCTTATGAATTATGACAAAAAATGAACTATATAAAATATGTTTACTATGGTAATAATTTTGATTCTAGTATACATGTATATGAATATACAAATGGGCAGGTATGGGCAAATGGGCAGTTGGTATTGATCATACACGTTATCACCTATCATACAAGGTTATCACTGAATATGTGGAATATTTGTCAATTCATAATTCCGCTGTTCTCATGTGCCTAGGCCTAATATCTCATTGATTATTTAGAGGGGGAAAATGGCAAGGGCGCTTCTTTTGAAATATTAAGTCCTTGAAAAAATGAAAGGCATTTATTATTTAAGTAAAAATATATTGAAAGATATACATTATCTAGAACAGATATAATTCAAATTTTATGTATTTGTTAGAGAGTTATCTGTTTTTATGAAGAGTACATAATGATTTGTTCTGACCTGATACAAACATTCCACACAAAAAAGTCGAAATGTATTGGTCAACATTTTATCTTGATAAATTATCAAGCTTATTATTTGAAATTGAAATACAATGTTATATACAATTTTTCAGTGTTAAGCCAATGCCTTCGTTAGCCACATACACTAAAGTAAATGAGTAAAGGAATAGACTTGACAATTTTTACAAAATATGTACTGACCTATTTTACACACACAAAAAATATATAAATGTTTTAAATATGAATTTTCCTATTAACTTAATACATAAATGACAATGGTAACTAACTTGACAATGATCAACACTCACTTTTTCATTCTGGTGAATATACAAATATGCAAATATTCAAAAAGCTTCATTGCCATATAAATGCACACAAAAAATCTGATCAAGTTTGAATTATCAAATATAAGATAAGAACTCAATAAATACATTATGAACAAATTACTCCTGATTTTAAGACAAATATCGAAAACATATCCCAATCTAACAGTACTCATCGTCACTGGATCTGTATCATATAAACAAGCACTATGTACTACAAAAGGACCACCACTTGATTGACAAGTGGACCTAACATCTGACAGCTGGCATCTCGTCAATCTCATTGTCCAATTTATTAAGTGTGGACCTCTGTGCACATAAGTGTTTCTCTAGA